AAAAGGTATTTAGCAGTTAATATTTACTACTAAAATAATTGCATTTCCATGTTTTGTGTACTGTGGAAGACCAGATATAGTGAATGCAGGGTCCTGGGTTTAGTAACACGTTAAGGATTTTCTCCCATCTCCTTGCATCATTATTTAGTAAATCACTGAATAAGAAGTACATGCACAGCAGAAGTCAGGACAATGGATGCTTGTTCTGGGTCAGTAACCTGTTAAGTGGGTATCTATAAAAAAAAAAAAAAAGGGTGACAATCTTGGAGAATGTTCATCGCCTTCATTGTCTCATAATGTATATAATTCTGACAGCTTTAACTATTAAATGCTTGTTTATGCCAGTTTAGTTCCCAAGCATTTTCATTCAGCAAAGCATATTTAACTTTCACCAAGGTTAGAAAATAGTTACAACCCCATCTTAGGGCTGGTACTGCATGCACCCAACAGCATTAATGAGCTACAAGGTGCAATACTAGACACATAGCAAAGATGTCCTATGGCCGTTTCAAAATTGCACCTTGAACCCTTGGGTCCTTTATATTTGCAGTTTTATGCCCAAAATAAAATGGGCAATTAATGTACAGAACTAGTCAACACGTAAGCGAAACGGGAACGCCGCAGTTACCAAGGATCCTGGATCCTGCAGGACAGTCCCAGGATTTTGTGTACTGTGCCAGAAGGGTGCAGAGTACTGGAATGCTTGGTAAAGTTCCATCTCAACGGGAAAAAAGGTAAAGCACCAGCGCAGGAACGTGGAGATAACTTTTATTCTACAAACACCAACGGTGGGGCTCCTTTTTCCTTTCTACTGACACAAAGGATGGAACTTATTTTGCTCATGTGAACGCCAATATTGGTACATATTTTAAAGACGAACTTCAGGAAAGTATCTAAAATAGATATATTCTACATATAGGAGCTGTTTTACCTTCCAAAGGATTTGTATTTCTGTCTGTCCAGTACAGAGCTTTATACAGTTCTGCCCCACAGCACAGCTCTGTCTAGAAGAGGGGATGTGACGTTATGTGCCGCAATTTACCACAGGTCTCCACCACAGCTACCACGCTGTGACTGAACAGTGAAAGGAGAAGCAGCACAAGAGCTCATCTCAACATCACCCTTCTATTAGTATGCTTGCAGCTGTGCTGCTTCTCCCTACATCTCTCTGAGTTCTGCTGTACAAACTGCACAGGGACTGCAAAAGACTGATACCAAGTCCAACATAGGTACTTACACTGTTTCCAATTAATACACAACAGCAATTATTAAACCATTATGGAGTTTAGAGCTGCATTCAGGTGCCTTTTATAGCTGCATAAAATTCAGTTTTAACTTTCAATCACACCAATAATGAGACTTTTTTTTTACTCTCAATGACACTGACAATGGGGGTTACTTTATTCCCACTGACATCCAATGATGAGGCTTATTTTACCCCCACTGACACCAATGATGGGACTTATTTTCCTCCCACTGACACCAAGTGGGACTTATTGTGTTTACACTTACACCAATGATGGGATTGTTTTATTCACACATTCTCTTCAGTGTGACCCCAGTTTTGGTTTTGTCCAAAACAGAGCAAAGCAAAAGGTGCAATAATACCTCAAGCTATAAGCCGTGAATAAAGCCCACTTTATTGGCCATGCCTACATGTGGTTAGTGGGCTTTGCACAGAGCATTCTTCTCCTCAATAACTTCCAGATTATTTTAAAATGTTGACAGCTATAGAGCACTGAGCTACCAAGACTCGTAAACTGAGGCTAGGCTCACACTATGTGGGTGGTTGCAGGTGCAGGACAGCGTGTAGATTGCTCCTATTCCTAAACCCACATCCACCGGGGGCCAAAATGTGCTGCTTTCTACAGAGGCTGGGGACTGTCATTCATTGTTAATGGCACCCCCATGCATCTGAAAATGCAGCAGTTTTTTGGGTGCGAGAAATTTCAAGGTGCAAAAGCACCATGCAATCTCCTTGCAGCTGCGTTTTAAAAAAGGTGCAGGGACCTATTTTTGGCAGGTACAGCAGCCTTTTCAAATGAAGGGGCTGGTGTGCCCATGCAAATGCGAACTGCAGCAAACGCACATTTGTGAACCTAGAGTAACAGGTTTACCTTTCTATGGCTCCCTTCTTTTAACAAAAACCTTCAATGTTTTTAGCGTCCCTTTCTCTATAAATTGTTAATCACTGTCAGCAGAAATTAGGCCACTGAGTTGCAGGGAAAGCTTTAGTAACATACGTTTGAACACAGTATTAGCAATTCAGTGAATCCAGTGAACTTTTTTCCATATTTTGAGTATGAAACACCCTCAACAATGTAAATTGTGAACATAAAGCCTATGTGCTGCACTAACTCATATAAACATAATAGTCCATAAACACATTCACAATTTGAATCTGTTTATGAGCTATTATGTTTATATGAGTTAGAGCAACCCTATTTATGTACAGTCAGGTCCATAAATATTGGGACATCGACACAATTCTAACATTTTTGGCTCTATACACCACCACAATGGATTTGAAATAAAACAAACAAGATGTGCTTTAACTGCAGACTGTCAGCTTTAATTTGAGGGTATTTACATCCAAATCAGGTGAACGGTGTAGGAAGTACAACAGTTTGCATATGTGCCTCCCACTTATTAAGGAACCAAAAGTAATGGGACAGAATAATAATCATAAATCAAACTTTCACTTTTTAATACTTGGTTGCAAATCCTTTGCAGTCAATTACAGCCTGAAGTCTGGAACGCATAGACATCACCAGACGCTGGGTTTCATCCCTGGTGATGCTCTGCCAGACCTCTACTGCAACTGTCTTCAGTTCCTGCTTGTTCTTGGGGCATTTTCCCTTCAGTTTTGTCTTCAGCAAGTGAAATGCATGCTCAATCGGATTCAGGTCAGGTGATTGACTTGGCCATTGCATAATATTCCACTTCTTTCCCTTAAAAAAACTCTTTGGTTGCTTTTGCAGTCTGCTTTGGGTCATTGTCCATCTGCACTGTGAAGCGGCGTCCAATGAGTTCTGAAGCATTTGGCTGAATATGAGCAGATAAAATTGCCCGAAACACTTCAGAATTCATCCTGCTGCTTTTGTCAGCAGTCACATCATCAATAAATACAAGAGAACCAGTTCCATTGGCAGCCATACATGCCCACGCCATGACACTACCACCACCATGCTTCACTGATGAGGTGGTATGCTTAGGATCATGAGCAGTTCCTTTCCTTCTCCATACTCTTCTCTTCCCATCACTCTGGTACAAGTTGATCTTGGTCTCCTCTGTCCATAGGATGTTGTTCCAGAACTTTGAAGGCTTTTTTAGATGTCGTTTGGCAAACTCTAATCTGGCCTTCCTGTTTTTGAGGCTCACCAATGGTTTACATCTTGTGGTGAACCTTCTGTATTCACTCTGGTGAAGTCTTCTCTTGATTATTGACTTTGACACACATACACCTACCTCCTGGAGCAGTGTTCTTGATCTGGCCAACTGTTGTGAAGGGTGTTTTCTTCACCAGGGAAAGAATTCTTCGGTCATCCACCACAGTTGTTTTCCGTGGTCTTCCGGGTCTTTTGGTGTTGCTGAGCTCACCGATGCGTTCCTTCTTTTTAAGAATGTTCCAAACAGTTGTTTTGGCCACGCCTAATGTTTTTGCTATCTCTCTGATGGGTTTGTTTTGTTTTTTCAGCCTAATGATGGCTTGCTTCACTGATAGTGACAGCTCTTTGGATCTCATCTTGAGAGTTGACAGCAACAGTTTTTTTTCCAAATGCAAATAGCACACTTGAAATGAACTCTGGACCTTTTATCTGCTCATTGTAATTGGGATAATGAGGGAATAACACACACCTGGCCATGGAACGGCTGAGAAGCCAATTGTCCCATTACTTTTGGTCCCTTAATAAGTGGGAGGCACATATGCAAACTGTTGTAATTCCTACACCGTTCACCTGATTTGGATGTAAATACCCTCAAATTAAAGCTGACAGTCTGCAGTTAAAGCACATCTTGTTCATTTCATTTCAAATCCATTGTGGTGGTGTATAGAGCCAAAAATGTTAGAATTGTGTCGATGTCCCAATATTTATGGACCTGACTGTATGTTATGTTTCAAATGTGGGATCACCTTTTAAAGCGGAGCTCAACCCAAAAGGGGAAGTTCCGCTTTAAGGACTGCTCCCCTGCTCCCCATTAAGGATTGGCACCTTTGGGGGGTGGTTACCCGAATTTGACAGGTACCTGCTCCCACTTCTGCTCTGATCGCCTAAGTGATCGGAAGTGGAAGGTGTCTTCCCTCCCTGCAGTCTTTTGGGACACGTGACAGGTCCCAGAAGTCTACAGGACCATTCATGAAGTGCAGCGCTACCCGTGCATGCGCAGTGGGCACCCGGCTGTGAAGCCACAAGCTGTCACAGCCGGGTGCCCACACTGAAGATGCCAGCCTCCTGGAATACAGGACGGTCAGTGAAACGGGCTGCAGGACACACACCGCGGGACCGAGGGACAGGTAAGTGGTTGTTTAACAGTTTTTGTAGCTGCTGACTTTTATTTTTTGACAGGGTGAGTGGAACTCCGCTTTAAGTGTTACTGCAGCAGCTGTATTTTATTAGCTCATTCACAAGTTTGATAGCGCACATTGTTTATTTTATTTATTTAACTAAAGCCTATGTGCGAACTACTTCTTATCCTGGTAGTCTTCTGCTAGTTATATGCTGGTAGCTGATGTCACACTGCAATATGAGTGGGAGATAGAACAAAGAATCATTTGACATGAGGCCACACTCTCATTTAGAAACACTGAATAGCTTTGCAGAGCCAAGAAGTGCAATGAATTACATAAAATTTACAAAAAGGTAAATTGAGTGGGCCTTTTGATTATATCACAAGTACAGTATTCCTTGGATTGGAACTAGCAGTTCACTGATTGCTTTTTCATTTTTGTCCAGCGTTTCTCATTAAAACAGCTGTGATGGTAATGGATTTTTCATTGATCACGGAGAAAGGATAGATAAATAGGGAAAAAACCACGCACCAGCTATAAGAACAGTGTGGGCACTTGTAAGGCTTCTCATGGGTGTGAGTCCTGATGTGTCTACGCAGAGAACTGCAATCTATAGAGGCATAAGTACATAACTCGCATTTAAAAGGCTTCTCACCTACAAGAAAAAGAAAACAGAGATTAAGCAAAGGGAAAGATCACATGTACGTCTCAAAACTAGATAGTCAGTCAGAAAACGAATTCCAATAACACGGATTTCTTGTAACATACTATTTACTAAAGATTTCTGAAGTAAAAGTTCAAACCATCTGAAAACATGCTCAAATTAAACAGCGGTAGGAAATAATTACGTCATGGGTGCATAGCTTACAGCTGCCGATGTTTGGAGAGAATCCCACAGACATATTTGCTTTGCAGAAAATAAAATTCCAGAACACAAAAACTAAGCAACAAACAATGAGTCAGGTTTATAATTTAAGCAGTTAAAGATGACATTTAGGCAGTTATAAAAGACAAATGAATGCAGCTATGAATTCAACAATATATATTTTTTAATGCAAACATTATAAGCGCCTGAATATGACCTCTCACCGTCCCTGTATAGCAGAGCTTAGAGTTGGGGGTGGGAACAAGCAGCACATGCAGCCAATAAGCTGTGTTGCAGTGCTAGAAGCATGCTGATTGGAGGAGAGAGTAAAATAAAGAGATGAGCCCATTAGCCTGTTGCTTCTTCTTTCAATCTTCTTTTTGTGATCTATGATTGAACTACCTACAGCTCATAAAACATCTAGCAGCTTGGCTGCTTGTTTGTGCTCAGCATTCTTTAAAGTTGTGTACATCAGAGATGATGATCACAAATCAATAAAATGTTACAAAGTATTTGAAAGAACAACTGTTTGGTGGACAAAACCAAGAACAATTTTTTCAGTATAGTTAGCTTCATTTTAATATTTTAGTAAAACATATTGTACACATTTATTGTGATTTGACAAATCATTCAAACAAGAGTACAGTACAGAAAATAGTGTGTTTAACCTCTCGGGTCCTAATTTGTGGCCCAGGGGCCACATGGGCCATTTTATTAAATGCTGGGGCCCTTGTTCCCCAGCTTTCTGGGGTGGAAGTGGGAGGCATTGCTTTGTTTTGTTAATAAATGTATTGGGTTTTTTACGTTTTCCAGAACAGTACAAGAAAATACAGTACGGCACAAGGAACATCAGGGAGTAGAGAGCTATTATCTGCAAAAGGGTCCAAGAGAATAATAGAACACAGTACACAGACATGAATATTGTAAGTGAATAGAAGGAAAAAAAAAACTCCAAGGCTTTTTCAAAGGGAGCGGGAAACAGATGGTTCGACAAGGAGAGCTCCGTATTAGCGACCATGGGCACCTCTAAAATATTGGAAAGGGTACAACATTGATAAAAAGACCACAACTGATAACATTGGCTAACCCTTGACTGGTACTTCCTCCCCTACCAAGTTACATCCCCCCCCCCTCCTCTCCTCTCCCTACCTTCTTCTCTTTAATACTCCCTCAACACCCAATACCCCACACACTTCACCAAGTTCAACACATTACTTAGAATACCTCTGATTGCATTGTCTTATAGACCTTTATAACACCCCCCCAATTTCTAGAGTGGTACAACACTCATCTCTTTAATGTATTACAACATATTTCTTTTTTTGTTGTTGAACCGTATACCATTACCCTGTTCTGTCTTTAAAAACTTCAATAAAAATATTGAAGCTAAAATATTGGAAAGGGGAAGCATCAAATACTTCATGAAGTAAGGCTTGAATTCCTGTATGCTGGAAAACCGACCACCCTCCTACCCTCTCCCTATGGTTTTCGAGGGTGAATGGGCTTAGGGATATGGAGGATCTTACGACCACCCTTCATAACAAGGAGGTTTTTTGGGATACCTGGCACCCCTGGTAATACTTTGTATTTACAGACACGTATCCGACTGAAACTGCTCATTCTCCCCAAGTACCTGTTTTTGCACCTGACTTGATTAAAACTACCCGGGATGGAAGGTGACTTTTCGGCAGCTCCTACTGTACCCTCTATTTTCTTTCCCCTAGTCTTCTCTGCCTTGCTCTTTTGTTAATTTTCTAATTTCACTCAGACCTACCTCTACCTCCTCTGGTTACTTCTGATGTTGGTCAGGTGGTCCCTTCTGTAGGGCATTTCTCTCCATTATTTCTCAGTTTCCATATCTTTTTCCGATAACTGGCTGGGCCATCGTCTTGGCGATTTGCCTTATCATCTAAGTCTCCCTCTACATATACGCACTACATGAGATGTTTGTACTAATTGTTAATCGGCATACTTGCCTCATTGCTGAGACGTAATCTACATGATCTCTAGACGATATGTTGATATGGTCTCTGTATATTTCCATTCACCTCTGAAATCTTATTGTTCTTCAGAAACCCACTGTTTCTCTGTAGCATGTTTATGTTCAATTACTATATGACGCAACTGCCAGTATTGTTTTTTTTATATACACTGGTGAACCTCTCTCTTGGTTCTCCCTGTTTGTAAAATATTTTCATAAAGAATTTAAAATACTTCATGAAGGAGAGCTAGAGCAGAAAGGAGGGGCAAGAAGAGGCAAGTTGAGCTTGAGAGGGACGACGGGGGAGAGAACAGGTATTGCTTTGTAAAGGGGTCATAGCAGTGATCTATCTCTTTCTTCTAGCCTCATGTAGCAAGCCCCCAGTTTTTTTTAAAGCATGTATCCAGCCTTCAACCGCACCTGTAGCATGTCCTTGGTCTCTTACCATTACTTCCTCTAGTATTTTTGCAGTCTCTGACATTTCTCTCTAGTGACTGAGAAAAATATGACCATTGATGTCAGGGGCGTTAGGGCCTCCTATACCTTGTAAGTTGACAACTACTGGTTAATCAATCATTCCTTGACATACAATTAATGGAATAAAAATATTAATAATATAGGTTGCTTGTGTTCTGCAGGGTACTATAGATATTTTTTTTATGATTTGGAAACCCTAAAAGGAGAAGTATGGCCAAAGCTCTTTGGGCCATACTTCTCCTGTAGGTCACAGGAGCACACTTAGTTCTGCATTTCTGTAAACCATATTCAGCAGGCTAAAGCCCCCTGTTGTCACGTCACTCAGCTGATCCAGTGTCTGGAAGGATCCCAACTTCTATGCCATGATCCACCCAGATGCTTACCAGCAGCTGGCTCAACCTCTCAGCATGCTGCTAAGAGCCTGAGCCAGCTGTTCCCACCCCCTCCACAGCACTCCAGTGATTGCTAGAGGGGCAGAGCAGATAGCCAGTGACTGACAGTCCGATACTGCATCCCCCTAGGTGAATATGATTATTTGTTTTTAAATCCCACACTTCTCTTTTAAATTAAATTGTAATTTTACTCAAATCTGGAACATCTCTCACCAAGCATGAGTTGAGGTTTAAAAAAATTATTTGTCCAGCTCATTATGAATGTTAATGTAATATTCTTCATTTAGATTTTTTATCCTAATAAATGATATATCTATATTATCGTCACCTATAAAAACACACATGTACTTTATATTTAATCCTCAGAATAATTAGTACAAGCAATTAAACAATGTGCTTGCAAATCCCATGGGAAGAATACAAATCCACTAGCTTTTCCTTTGGTATCTTAAAATAGAATGCCAGTGATAAGTGGTGAGCTCCAAACCGCAACAAAAATTAAAAGTTCCACAAAAAAGGAAAAACCCCATATACTGTACCACTATGAGACTGTATAGTGCCTACTCATTGTTATTGCAAGAAATTGTGCAAAGCAGCACTATGGAAAGTAATTTTACATATGTACAGTAAATTAGTCAGCAAACAGGAGGAAAAGAAGCCCTGCTATTAAGAGCTACATTAAGCCTAAGCCATGATTTAACAGCAGGAATCCCATCTGCCAATACACATACCACATTTAAAAGAAACCTGCCAAGGAAAATGGTACTATGTGAGTCACAGGCCCAGAACACATATTCAGCCAAACCTTTTTTTCCCCTTAGTTTTGATAAAGCAGGGAATCCGTAAACCCCTTTCAGGTTCTTTATTTTTGCTGTGTCCAATTGGATAGATTTTATTTCCTTTTCCAGAGAACACAACAGAAATCTCTCCAATCAACTCTAAAACACCTGTCACCAGAACAGGTCCACTACACAAAAAAAATGGTATCCGCCCCAACCTATAACCAGCCTTGGCAGTAGGGTGCACATGGAAGGGTAATGCACATCGCAAACAAAAGATTTCCCAGCAACACTTACCAGCCAGCCTGCAAAACAACCAATTTGGACCTGTCGAACAGTTTGTCGAACAGTTTCAGAGGGTTTTGTTTGCACACATTTGCAAATACATGTGTAAGTCACAGTCAAACCTCAAGGGTCCTCTGTATTCTGTGGACCTAACTAGAATTTCCAAAGCCTCCATAGTAGGAGCACATGCATAAATGGATAGGTCAGGGGCAGGTGTGCCTGGAGGAGCCCATCCCTCCTTAAAAGGTACAGGGACGCACATGACGCCCAGCTTTACCAAATAACAGCAAAGGCATCCAGTGCATCCCTGCGTCCAATTTAGCCAACTACACAAAAACACCAGAACAGGTCTCCATGGCTAAATATCCCTTTTAGTCTTTTTCTGTCAATTTTGGATTCCCCATCAATTGACAGTGGTCAGCCAGAAAAATAGAGAGGGTGAATCTTCCCTGTGGGGACAAAATTCAGTATGCTTGGGTTTCTATTCCTTCCCAACTCTACCTAAAACTAATAAAAAAAAAAAGGTTCTGATGACTGATTTGTTAGGTAGTCAGACATATCTATTGCAGGTAAAATGTATCTTTTTTTTTTGTCACAAGCAGAATTTGTCTGTTAAAGGCCAACTGGCTGGAAAACAATTAACCCTTAGGGTAGCTTCACACTGCTCCACTGTGTTTTTTTTTCTAAAGCGTAGCTAAAACGAGGATTTTGTGCAGGTTAGCTGTACTTTTCTATACAGGTTTTGGTGCAGTTTCAAAAAAGCGCACCAAAACTTCTGCATGCAGCGTGTTT